GCGTACCTTCGGCCTGATTGTAGAGCGTCCACAGGGTGTCATATGACAGTGGCGACCCAGTTACGTGCCGGGGCCGGGACTTGTTCAACACCTCCCTTCATGCAGGCTTCACTCCAGCTCTCAAACTTTTCTCCACCGGCCTGTAATGTCACCAGCTGTCGGCTCTAGGTTTACGACTGATGCGGAGGAGAGATGAGGATAGAGAGAGAGGGAGATGAGAGAGGGGGAGGGAGGGGGAGGAGAGAGAGGGGAGAGAGAGGGGTGAGAGAGAGGGGGGTGAAAGAAGTAGCAGAAAGGGGGGGACATGGAGGGAGATGAGTAGTAGAGAGAGAGAGAAGAGAGAAAGATGGCGTGGAGAGAGAGATTGAGAGATAGAGAAGAGAGATGAGAGAGAGAGGAGAGAGAGAGAGAGGAGAGAGAGAGATGAGAGACGAGAGAGAGCAAGAGATGAGAGAGAGAGGAGAGAGAGAGAGAGAGTACGAGAGAGAGAGAAGAATGATGAGCGTGTGTTTGCCGTGCGAGAAGAGAGAGAGAGAGGTAGACGAGAGACGAGAGATGGCTTGTTTCTATCCTTTCTCCGCCGCCTCTGCCTGCTGTTTGGAGTTGTTGTTGTTGTCAGGACGACCGTTGCTATGGTAGCACATTGTTGTTGTTGTTGTTGTCAGGACGACTGTTGCTGAGATACGAGGGCTGTGAGACCGCGGCGCATGACTTCTGGCTGTTCTACCTGCACGTGCGCGTGCACCCGATCGGCTGGGCTCGCGACAACGGGCTCAAGTACGAGCCGCCCGCAGGTAGGGGGCGCCACGCGAGCTCTGAGTTATTATCACGATTAACGTATGAGCGTAATTATACGTACATGCGTCAGTTATCTAGCGTGCATCAGCCTGTGATCCGACTTGAGTCAAAACGTTGACGTACGTAAAAGTTTGAATAACTTAACCCTAACTTGCATCGGATAGCGTCCGATCAGCTTGCGTGATCGTGAAGATGCAAATTAATCGTTTGAATGCATTCGATTTCGATCGCTCGCGATTGCTTTATGCGAATTCACGATTGCGACGGAAGCTGTGCGTGTTCTCACCGGTCGTTCGTTTGCGATTTCAACCATGGCACGTCACTCGGGAATTCTCCGTCTCCCGCAGAGCTGGAAGGTTTTCGCAAGGCGTTGGTGCTGCCCTCTACGTTGTCGCCGCCGCCGGAGTCGTCGGATAAGCTTGCCGACGCTCACCAGGTGGCAGCAGACGTGCCGGGAGGCGGGGATGAGAAGGGGAAGCGTCCGGACTGGGGCGCGGTGTGTGACGTCGTGTTCAAGGAGACGCAGGGACTCATGCTGCCACCGGACCTGTTCCAGGTCAGTAACCTAACCCTGACCCTGACTCTATCACTAACACTAACCCTGACCCTGACTCTATCACTAAC